GTTCCAACCTCCATTTCATTATTCAGATATGTCACATTCCACCCATATTATTCACCTCCTCTTCATTTGTCCATTTATCTACAGTTCCTTTGCTTCACTCACAAGCTATGCAATGCTGTGAAAACCTTTCCAAAATATTATCATCATTATGTTGTATATTTCCTGCTAGAAAATGTACACTGACTTTTCAGTGAAAAATAACAAATTAAAGAAAAAAGAACAGGCTGAAGATTTAGATTTTATATCTTGTCCATGCCACAAAGCCCATAGTAAGTAAATTTTGGAACTTAAGATTCCAGAGTAAAATAATTTCTCAGAAAAGGTTCCACTTGCTATATGTGTGGTTTTAGAAATTTACTCAATTAACCTTATGATATCTCCTTATCAATCAAATTTGGGAAATACTACCTGTCAGGATATCTTAGCTATAAACAACATTAATATGATTAAGGTTTTGCATGTATATTATATGTTACAAAATGAAAACACTAATCAAATTGATTGCTACATTATTTGTGCTAGTTCCAATTATGTACTGAAGAACAGAAACTCAAACTTATACTATCATATTTTATTAGGATAGCTAGTGTGAATTAGCCTATATACTCTGGTTACTGCTAGTATACTGATAAGATGGTAGATAGTGTCTCCATGGAAGGTAGTAAATAATATGTTAACATGAAAAAAAAATCATGTAGAGAACATCATCAGTTTGTAATAATAAAACAATCATGATGGTAAGCCTGAAATAAACTGGAACTTCATTTATTTTAACTTAATGAATTCCTATTTTGCTACAGTAAGTTAAGCCTCTGGTCATGATCTCACTGGACTATTGTCAGAAGAAAATGTATACTATGAGATAGATAAATGTCCAACATTCTTTTATAAAATAGATGTCCACTCTGTATGACAAGCACAATTTCAGTGCTTAGTCATTGGCTATAATCCCAACACTGGGGTGGCTGAAATAGGAGGTTCACAAGTTCACAGCTGGCCTGACTAAGTAGAAAGATGCTGGTTCAAAATAACCAGCCAACCAACTAACCAAACAAACAAAAACTAGAGAAATGAAAAACAAAAAGTTTACTGAATCACTGGAGGTTATGCTGAATTATTCATGTGAATTAATGGGTCTTTGGTGCTGTCTGGAATCTCCTCTCCTCCCTTTCTCTCCCCATCTCTCCCCTCCCCTGCCCCTCCTCTCATTTCTCCTCCTCTCTTCTTCTCTCCTCCCCTCTCCCCCTCTCTCTTTCTTCCTGTATACACATGCTGACATAAATATATCTACACATACACCCAGAGTGACTTGAAATACATTATGTATCTCACGGTAGCCTTGAACATAATACACCTGCTTTGTCCTTCCACATGGGATTACATCAGTGTCCCACTGTTTATTTTATATGCTGAAAAGTGTACTCTTTCTTATACTACCATAGTTTGTCATGGTAGCTAGCATGAACTAGCCCTCATAATACTGGTTACTACTGGCACACTGATAAGATCACAGATCAATGTCTCCATGGAAGGAAGTAAACATTATGTCTCCATAAATGTTCATGTATATTGCTACATTCAGCTTTTGTAAGCAATAAAAAACTATTTCACATGAGAGACTATTATTTTCTCTTTTCTTTATAATTTTAGTAAAAAATTACCATATGATAATAGTCTCACACTATATATAATCCCAAGATTCTCTCTCTCTCTCTCTCTCTCTCTCTCTCTCTCTCTCTCTCTGTGTGTGTGTGTGTGTGTGTGTGTGTGTGTGTGTGTGTGTGTATTTGTGTGTGTGTGTGTAAACCTTTTCTACTCATTAGCAGAAGTGACTAATAAGTACCAGTGCCAAGGTAAAACTACTACCTGTTCAACAATCAAAGACTGCCATCTCCGGAAACTAGATTAGTAACTTCTGAACACCTCTCTAAGAAAAATCCAACACCTCTGCAACCCTAACCTCTCCAATTTCACTTCACAAAACACATGGCCATGTAATCTATGAATGTTGCTTCTCCTGTCACTCCCTGACACAGAAACACCTCTGCAATAATCTACTTCCTGAAAACCCATGCTCCCTTCCTCACATTCTTAACAGCGTACAACTCCTGCTACACAATCTCCCCCACCTACCTACCTTTTAGAAAATGCCTTCTCCTACTCATGTAATACTACTACCTTCACTTCTGAAGCATTGTATCCCTTTTAGACACACTGCTAGAAATCCCTGATCACCCCCCTTCAAGAATCCTCTAAACATCATTCTGTGGATATAAGTCAACTCTCAAAATTTACAATTCCTCTATCCTCTGGGTGCCCCTCATATTTTTATGTTTCCCACCCCAAGAAACATTTACCATCCTGGACACATGTCTTCCAGAATGCCCCCCCACACAGCCCATAAACCCTACTTCTGGAAAGAACCTCCTCCTCAATCCTTCAGCTCACATATTTTGTAGCACCCAGTGATTCTTAAGTCCCTCATTCCTAGCATTCCTTCCACTATGGTAACTGTACACATTGCCATGGTATTCCAAAACTGGGAGGAGGGGCCCAAGAGGATTTCTAGGAAGTTTAACAGTTGCTATGAGAAAAAGAAACATTTTCTCTAGTGGAGTATATCCTGGTAAGTTACCCATTCTATAAATAACTCTTCAACCACACTCTTGTAAGAAATTGTAACTAGTCTTACTGGTTAACAAAACCACAGAGGCATAAAAGTAGAAGAAAACTAGTTGGGAAGTAGAAAGGGGTAAGAGGGATTAGAAGGGGGGCAAGTGTGTGCAATGTATAATCAAAATACATAAAATGACTTTATGAAAATGTAATAATTAAATCCATTATTATGTATATATAATTTTTACTAATAAAAACTTTAAAAATACCTATAATATCTTATTACTTTCTTAATTTTAAAGCACTAAAGAATTTTAATATGACATGTATGAGATTGATGATAGAGGAGTTTTAATGAGTCAAGGGGAATATATTAGGTAAACAAGTATGGGCGGAAAACATGAGGACTGGAAGTAATTTCTCTTTGTTTATAGTAGGACATACACAACTGAATAAATGACTAATACTGAGAAAACACTCATCCACAGTTTTGGAGGGTTTATGTGAATTAAAGAACATTTTTTCCTAGTCAGCATTCTTCATCAATTTTAGTTGTAATTGTTGCTACTTTAAGTTTTCATTCTATAGCCTAAATCTTGTTGCCAAGCAACCATAATGACGTAAATAAATCTCATTTCTTTCATATATGTTAAATTGAAAAGAACCTGAAAAGGATTTTGGAAGGAAAAATCTGGAGAGGTGATAGACAAAAGAAGTGTGTGCTATCCCAGATTCCAAATTAGGTAAGTAATTGAAAAAAGGGAATGATGTGCTTTCATGTATTGCTGATAAAGAAGCTAAAGAGAAGAATAATGCCGATCAAGTCATTGCTAAAATGGACAACTGAAGCTGCTCCTCATACTGGGTTGCCTTGTCCAGCCTTAATACTAGGGAGGTGCTTAGTCTTACTACAACTTGATATACCATGTTTTGTTGATACTTATGGCAGACTTGCCCTTTCCTAGACAGAAACAAAGGAGGAATGGATTAGAGGGTGGGAACAGGGGGAAATTGGGGTGAAACTGGGAGGAGAGGAGTGAAGGGAAACTGCAGTCAGGATGTAAAAAAATGACTGAATAATAAATAAATTAAATAAATAAGTATAACAACAAAACATAATCAGGCTGAGGAAAATAAAAATGTATACACTAATATCCAATTTTTAAATGTTATATGTATTAAAATAAAATGTATAAAACGCTATCAAAGTATGAGAGCTGACTTTTTAAAAGGTTATAAAAAGGCTTCTCTAAATAAACACAATTATGTTGTCCTTACAGAAGGAAATACTATGTGCAAAGGCCAAGGATGGAAAGAATATGGTATATCTGAAGCAGTGATGGAATGCTATTGATATGGAAATACAGAGAAAGGGATGGATGAGTGTGTTAAAAGGAAATGTAGAAGAGAAACACAATGGCGAGGTTGTTCAAAATAGGCATTATAAACTCAGTTGAGGTTTGTGGATTGTTTGCTGAGAGCCGTGAAGGTCTTTGTTTGTACTTGTTGAGCTCATGAAAAGTAAACTAAAACTAAAAAGTAAAAAGTAGAACAGTTAGGAAGCAATACTGAAAGGTGAAATGTGTGGCCATTATTCATGATGCTGCAGCAATGAATTTCTTACCAAGAAGATTTGTAATTTCCTAATCAATTATTTTGTGATGGACTATTTTGTTTCCAGTATTAGCAAGCACCTGAGATATTTTTTAAACTAATCAAATCTCACTAAACAGATTTGTAGAGATAATAAAACAAAAATTACTATGGCTATCAGTTAACATCCTCTAGTGGTTTTTCCCTCTCTTAATATATAGTATCTCTCAGAGCTTTTACTATTTTAAATGCTATTACACTTATATATGCACTATGTAAAGTCATAAAGTTTTAATATTTTTATTCATATGTACATTTTTATCACACCAAATAAAAACAAAGCATGATATTTAAATATATCTATTTAAATACTTCCTTTCTGAAGCAGCCCTCTTTTTTCTGTGTAAATATTGGTTTCACAGAATATCCCTACATTCTGTATTTGTCATATTTCCTCACTACATCATTTAAGTTGTTTCTCTTTCTACTTCCCATGATACATCCTGATTATTTTCTGACATTTCCATTTCTTTTGACATATTTTAAGCATCACCCAATTTTTCTAATTTTTGTTCCTTCCTTGAAAAGTTAAGCCCCCAAGTTCTGATTGCCTGCTTTGCAATACACAATCAACTTTGGGACAACTTGTTTTTCCATTTTCAAAGATTATGGTTGTATTTAAGTCACATAATCATGATTCACAATCATGATTCATTTTTAAGGTAGTGATTCAAACTGATGAAAAGCAAATTGTCCTCCACACTAGCTGTTTAGAAAACTTTAAAGTGTTTCTCTATATTTCACCTTTGGCTTTTGAGAAAATCTGTTGCTATATAGTGCAGAGTAAGCTGGAACTCCCTATGCAGATGAAACTTGCCTTGAAGAGTCTAATATCTCCATGACTTCTGCCAATTGTCTTTGATTCAAGAAGATTTAACAAACTCCACCATTTGCCAGATGCTGTGTTAGGTACTCATACCTGTTACATAGCACAAACTTTAATCTCTCTCCTTTGTCTTTATTTTATGAAAGTCTGCAAGTATTCCTTTTTTTCTTTCTCTCCTTTTGTTTATTTAAATTAGAAACAAGATTGTTTTACATGTCAATCTCCTCCTCCCCTGCCCGCCCCCAACTAACACCCTACTTATCCCATATCCTTTTTGCTCCCCAGGGAGGGTGAGGCCTTCCATAGGGGGTCTTCAGAGTCTGTCATCTCCTTTGTGATAGGGCCTAGGCCAATGCCCTTGTGTCTAGGCTCAGGGAGTATCCCTCCATTTGGGAGGGGCTCCCAAAGTCCGTTCCTATGCTAGGGAAAATTACTGATCCACTACAAGAGGTCCCATAGATTTCCAAGGTCTCCTAACTGACACCCACATTCAGGGGGTCTGGATCAGTCCCATTCTGGTTTCCCAGGTATCAGTCTAGGGACCAAGAGCTCTCCCTTGTTCAGGTTAGCTGTTTCTGTGGGTTTCACCAGCCTGGCATGGACCCTTGGATCATCAGTCATCCTTCTCTGCAACTGGATTTCAGTCTTTTTTTTTATTTTGAGTTATACCATGGATATCTTTTTATTTTAGTTTTTTAAATATTTTTATTTGAATTAGAAACAAGATTGTTTTACATGTCAATCCCAGTTCCCTTTCCCTCCCCTCCTCCCCTGCACTCCCCCGAACTTACACCCTATCAATCCCATACCCTTTCTGCTCCTCAGGGA